CTGTGATTTCAAAAATAATATTCACTGACACTGACAGCAGCAAGCAAAATATCAGGTGCGTTTTAATCATCCGCTTCTGCTTCCGGAATTGTCGGTTTAGTCGTTTTAACCTGTCAGATTAAAACAAGAAAACCGACAATTCCGAAGCAGAAGCGGATGATTAAAACGCACCTATTAAAAATATTGCGCAAAGATGTAGGCAACACGTAATAAGGGTTCAAAATGGCGGAGTTTTCAATCTCCTTTTAAAAGGCACTCAGAAAGCTGCGCAGTGCGACCATTCTCCGTATAGTAAAAGAAAATCAAAGTATGTGTTCTCTACTAATGATAACAGGTAGGTAGCGTAATTAGGCATTCCAACGACCTGTCAAACAATAGGTGCCAGTGGGAAATTCTTGTATATTTAAGGGGGGTAGCGACATAGTCTTGCAACTTGGACGCTATTTTTATTCGAAGTAGTACTCGCCAAGCCTGCCAATTTATGAAAAAATGTATAGGTGGGTTTTTTAAATATTATTTTTATTGTGTTTGACATAAAATATTTAAATGTAATCCATTATTAATGATTTTACGTAAAGTAGATAGAATACACCATATGTCGCTACCCTTAGATATACCAAACCTGCCCACTGGTAATTCATTTGTTTGGAATGCCTAATAGTCATAGATGACGTCACAGGGCTACTGTGGCGAATAACTTTAAATGTGAACTTATGGCAAGTGACATATCGTTTGAAATACGAGTAGTTGACCAACCTGACAAACTAAAGTATGTGGACAAACTACAATTTATAATTCTACGATACAAATCTGGACCTTAGAGCCAAAGAGTATTAAGTCCATTTTACAAAATTTTACAGGAGAGTTTGTTGAAACTTTTTACTTCCTGTATTTTTAATTTCGCATCATATGGCACTTGGTTTTTAAAAATTAACGTAATGTGTTTAATATATTTTTTATTGTACCTGCACTTTTTTTTACTGATTTTTATAGTTATAATTGAAAAAAGTACTTAATACCATGTGGCTCTCAAGGGGCGCTTTCCTCATGTACCCATATTTATAATTTACATACTTGCATTAATAAGTCGATAAATAAATTAGTTAATAAATTCTTGCCTTTTCAAATTATTTGAAAACAAAAAAGAAAAAACCACGGCGGCGCCTATTGGACTGGTGCATGTCGGCACTAGGACTGACGACCAGGGTTCCCAACCGGTCTTTAACGATTTACTCTCAAAAACTTTTCCGGATTACTCACAATTACTCACAACTTCAAAATATCAATATTACTAGTTTTTTATATAAATCGTATATTTCGTACTCTTGCACTTTGGTTTCAATTTATTTTAGTACTGTGCAATGTTGCCAAACATTAAAAGAGAAATTTTCAGAACATACAAAAGTCAAAACAGATGCACCTTTATTTCTGTGCATTCACTATTTTAATAACCAAGTAATATATAGGTTGATTCATAACTATTGGGACATAGGCTAAGGCAGGTTATTTGGATAAAAATATGGCGATAGGACCAAATATACCTTAATAAAATATTGCTGTGGAATAAGATACAGGACGTTAAATTTAAATACTGTTTTTTTTGTTTTTTTTCTGATGTCACTGTATATTAATGAATTGATATCAAAATTGGCACAAAGGCATATTTTTCGACAAGGAATAATATTTTATGTATTATTTCACATTTTGTTACAGGAGGTGCCACGTGAATGATTCCTGATGATGAAATTAAGTGGTAGCTTTTTTTACAAAACTTTTTAATATTTTTGATTAGAAAATTTCACTCGTTTTCGAGAAAAACGCAAATGAACAACTCACAAAATATTTCATTTATGAAAAGTTTGCTTTGTAGTGTCAAATAATTTGCTGTTAGATTATAGTCTATTATTATTATTATTACTATTATTAATATTATTTAACGCACTGTATCTTATTCCACAGCAATATTTTATTAAGGTATATTTGGTCCTATCGCCATATTTTAATACAAATAACCTGCCTTAGCCTATGTTCCAATAGTTATGAATCACCCTGTATATAAAACATCTTTGTCATCAGCTGAACAAAAAACAGATAAAAAGGTTTGGAGAATCAGAGTAGCTTCTTTATTAACGGGCCAAATCATAATAAATCATTAAGTAATTCTAATACTTAAAAAAATCTACTAACAAAAATATATACTTTTAAAATGAACAAAAAAAATATATTAATCGACGATTGGGACAGTCCCAATGGGACTATCACTATCGACACGACACTTTTACTCTTTTACACTGACCAAACAATAGAGGACGTTGCAATTTTAAAACTATAAAATTGTAATGACTGCTAAAGGTGCTGGGGGGTAAAATAAGGCTTATATTAAAATTTTAAAAAGAACACGGTTTTAATAAATTATCCGATCAGGATTTTGCCTAATTACCATGAATATACCCACGCTGACTTCCCGATTACTCACATATTACTCACAATTGCCCTTTACTCACAGACTAGTAAATTACTCACAGATTGGCAACCCTGCTGACGACTGTCGGTGCTAGGTTCAGCGCCTTTCGGCGCTAGGACCAGCGACCACCGGCGCTTGTAGGACCGGCGCACCGGGAAATCTCCCAGTTTCCAGGTGGGCCCATCCACCCCTGGCTTAGAGTTTAGGGCCTAGGGTTTAGGAAAATTACAATTGTTTTCACAGAAATACTCATCTTTTTTATATTCAACTGAATTATCGCGTCTTTCAAATATAATGTAACCGAGCCCGTATTTGGGAGTTTAGAAGAATTTTTTTTTACTCGCTGATGCGAAACTGCAAAACCTATATTTATTAGTTAATCGCTAACTAGAGGCAGCTTTTTGTTGTCTTTTTTTGAGAAGACTTGTTCAAACTTTTCAGTTCCTTTGATGACCTTAATATATACCTACTACAAAGGTATCCTATCCTTCATTTACTTTTAGGACATTTACTTCTAGGAATTTATTTGTTAACTTTCTGTTTTAGGCTGGAAAATTAAAATTATACAATGTCGGTGTATCGCTTCGTAACAGGTACAATACGTTTTTGGGAAAATACTACTATCCCGATATCGTCGAAGCTGTAAGTACAGATTACAATCGAACAAAAATGTCACTCGAATTGGTTTTGGCTGGACTTTTTCCACCAAGACAGGAAGATTTGGTAGGAGCAGGATTACTTTGGCAACCAGTACCTTACAATTATTTACCACGAAGTGAAGATAAGGCAAGTCACATTTTTACATCGACCATTAGACATGAATCAAATTAAAATTGTAATCACTTTATTGTTTCGTATTGACAGTTACGCTATTTATTTTTTAGGTTTTAATTGCCGATTCCTGTCCAAAATACAAAGAAATCTTCACGCAATATATTTCTCAACTCAAGGATCAAAATAGATTCAAACCGTATGAAAAGATATTTAATTATATATCGGAAAACACTGGGAAAGAAATTAGTTCATTGAATGATGTTTACCATCTATTCTTCGGGTTGACTACTGAAGAAGAATTTGGTTTGGATCTACCGAACTGGACAAAATCAGTATGGCCTGAACCAATAACTTCGTTGGCCGCTAAACAATACTCCATATCAATGGGCCTACCAGAAATGAGAAAGCAATTAGTTGGATACTTGTTAGATAAAATACTTAGCGATACGAAAGCAAACATACAGGTCAATGGTAAACTGTCCAGAAAAATGCATTTGTACTCTGCACACGAGAGCAATTTAGCTCATTTTCTTATTGCGTTAGGAGTGTTTGAAAAGCCGCACATTCCTAATTACGCATCTTACATTATTTTGGAGCTGCATGAAATAGACCATGAATACGGATTTAAAATTTTCTACGAGGCATGGGATGGAAGGGGTTTGAAGCAATTAAAAATGCCCAATTGCAAGGAATTTTGCACATTGGATGTGTTCGAGGCTTTGATTAGGGATTTTTTGCCTGAAGATAATTTATGTGGAAAATAACATAACATTGTAAATCTAAATTAAATGTATCTATAAATTATTAATTGTACCCGTAGTGATTCAGGTCAAGTAATACGTAGTACTGTACACAATTTTGTTTTGTCATAAATTATATAAAAGGACTAGTCTGGTAAATTAATTGCAACAAATAGGTAAACAGTAGCACTTAACATAATAAATAGAGCATTGTGATAGGATGATTGCCGGTTAATGATTTGATATATTTATAGATTAAAGACAAGGTAAGGTCTGATCCTACGCATTTTCTTTTATCATTGTAATGAGTAATTTTTGGCGGAATGAAAAATATCGACATTTACAAAATTATGAAATATAAGGGGCTACCGGTAACGCTTCGGTGTATAGGGCCAATACTATTTATTTTTTTAAAATATGTTTTCACAATTTAAAAATAATTACAATTATACAGGATTCTCTTAATTCTCCACGAAATGGGACACCCTGTAATTTTATATTTGATTTTCATTAGGTTTTCCCATTACATACATAATATATACCAAATCATGATTCTAGTACGAACAGATAAGCTCACTTGGGGTACGAATTTTGAATCGAGCCGCGCATGACGTCATCGCGTGACAAAAGGGTTGGCGATATACGGGGACGCTATAGCTTTTAATTGTATTTTGTTTGAAAATTGCTGAAATATTCGTTATGAATGTTTTATATTATATTATTTAAAAAGGTAAAATAAAAACAAGTCTATGTTCACAATATATAATTAATTTATTCAATAGAAAAAACAAAAGCATATAATATTTGCTTTTAATTTATTTACATTGACATTCAAAGTCAATGCTAACTTGGATAATGAAACAAAAACAAAATAGATCAACGAAACAAAAAATGAAAGTACGTACAAATAACTTGAAAATAATTTATTAACAAAAAATAGGGCGAGCAACAAAGCTGTCAAGTTTTCCACTCGACGAGCGACAAAGCTGTCACATAATGTCAGTTCGCGGAGAACGTCAACATTACGGTTGTATTTCGAGGTGCAAAAGCCTACTTTGGATAGTGAACGTAGAAAAATAGCTATTTATTACAAATTTTTTAATATTATTCGGAAAAGTCGACTGATCCGAATCCAAATAAATTTTCGGAATGGTGGAGGAATGTTTTCCAATAGGTTTTTTTCCCATTCCAGTAAATTGACTTATTGTATCGCATCCTGTTAAAATATGGAAAGCTGGTAGGGTTTTCGTAAGACTTTCGTTAAGGACTATTTTACGAACTGCCACACGTATAACGAGTAAAATTTCGCTCGGAAGAAGGTTTTTAAAATACACCAAAAGAATAAGCATATCGTTATCGTTAGAGTCAATAACGCATGTAGAAAAACCTTCAGTTTTAGCAGAGAACATGCATGAAATAGAATTCTGGTGTTTGTTTCTTCATGGTTTTCTTCACAATAATTGTTTGTTAATATTGGATTAAAAGCCTATAATGTTATTAAATCCGCAACTCGTTACAAATCATGGAATCCGTGACGAACAATTCGTTAGATAAAAAGTTTTTATTAAATATTCAGTGAGTTAATGAATAAAGACAAGTGCAGAGTCTAAAAAAAAATATATATAATAAAAAAAGGTCGAGTAAAAAACAAGTAAAGATATGTTTTAAAAAAAGGTAATTTGTACATTCAAAAAGAAAATTTTTGGAGAATCATAGAAATTTAAGAAATTATATGCAATGATTTCGCTAAAATCATCGAAATCGTATAAACTTATGGGTTATTTCGTCGTAATCACCGAAATCATGTGAATTTTAGGTGATTTCCGAAATACAAGTACGTTTTAAACTGAGTTGTTTACCCCTCAAATCTAACTAAACATAGAAAAATTAAACATCAATACTAGGATTGTACGACAAAGTCAGATATACACTTAGAACAACATGTTTAACAGCAATGAAAAAGCAACAAGCGATTTCGACGGTAGATCGTGGCTGTCGTTCTAATTGATTTGTTTTATATTAATAACCATAGGTTGTTTATTATAAGACATAAAAATATAATCTATACACATTTTAGAAACTTTTACAAAGAGTAACTTTTTTGTTTTAAAAGTTTGTTTAGCAAATTTCATAGAGTAATCATTAAATGTACAACATTTTTCGAAGTTTTTTCCAAAGATAAAAACGAGAAAATCGCCGTAAGCCCCAATGGTTTTTTAAATGTTTGAAATAATAAATTTACGTATCTTGTAAAGAAATTTTTTGAATTTTGCGGTCCTATTGTAGTACACGTTACGCTCTATTCAATGGTACCAATATTACGTGTTCTTTTATTATAAATAATGCCTCAGTCCAATTTTGGATTACATCCAGTTTTAGAATCTCCGAAATCAGTTTTCAATAAATTAACATTTTAGCTGGTGACAGTCAGCCCCCACAGAATTCTGTGACATACTGAGACCCTGTAGTACATCAGAGTATACTCAAGATAAACTCCAGGCGGTCACTGCTAACGAGGTAGCTACCAAATCAAGATTAAAGACACTTATCTCCCTTAGACCTCGTACCCTACGGTACCCTGAAATAAAACAGTTGAGAGCCGGTGGTAAAAGAAACAAAGGGATTAATAACAAAATATATTTACAAAAAAATAACACCTCGAGCACGGTATGGTACTACCTGTATACAAAAACAAATTTTAAATGGCCAAATGTTTATTAAATATCACGAGCTAACAAGCCAGGTAAACAACTGAAACGGGAACTTACAATCCTCCCGATATATGGAAAATAAATTCGATATAAAATAAAATTTAATAAAAGACAACGGTTGAGTTATACAAGAAAAATAATTAAACGGACATTTAAAATTCTCCCTGTATCAGAAAATTAATGTATCAATAAGTAGAATTAATTTTCCACTAAATAAAATTAATTAGGGAACCTTTTCCTATAGGAATTTGTGACACTTTCCTATATGTAGGAAAATGTCATAAATTTTCGATGTATATAAAAATGTCAAAAATTCCTATAGGAAAATATTCCTACGAGTCGAGAATCGACCCCCTGGGGGTCAATTCTCGACTTTTATTCCCATGGGACAATAAAATTTTCCCATGGGAATTCTGTTTTCGTAATCTCGACATAAGCGGTGGAATATTTTCCAATAGAAGTATGGGAAAATATTCCCCTGCTTACGAGCATTGGAAATTGTGTTTTCCAATGGAAATTGTACTAGAGTTTGCGCATTAAAAGTAGAAAATTTGACGAAAGACCACGCGAAAGTCTAAGACATAACCAAAGATTATTGGATATCTTGGATTTTTAGTGAAATTGTAGTTAAAACATTTTTTTGGCGTATTTATAGATTGATATTATTTTATTTATGTAGGTATATTATTTTTAATTCTCTTTCACTAAGAAATTGTATAAACTGATTTTCCTAAATCATTTAAAAATTGTGGGAGCTGCTAAGGGACTGGCAAATAACACAAATTGAGTGTAGAAAATTTAATAAGAAATGAAAGAATTTCTTGGTTTCTCAAAACTTTCGTTGCTCTTCCATACAAAAGCTACCTTTTCTTTTTTAAACATGAGAAAAGAAAAACTAAGAATAACTCGACAAGTTTTAATTATTATACGTAATCGAATATTTTCACTTATTCTCGATCATGATAGCGATTGCTCGGCACGGCACCTGCTCCACTTCTGTGACCTGCTCCAGCGCGGAGGCTCGGCTCGGCAGGTAATCGGATACCCAAAAACCACAACAAATACAAATATTGCCAACAGTAAATTTTAAAATATCTTTAATGTTATTGGTTGTTTCGAAATATTCGTGAACTTAATATCAGACATACATGAAACTACGATTTCCATGGGAATGTCTATTCGCTCCGTGCGAAGTCATGGAAAGGGAAGCAAAAGCGATACTAGCGCTAGCTGCGGATAATTCCTGCATTTTAGGGGGATATTTTGTAATTTTGGCATATCAAATACACGTATACATTTTACTTTTTTTCAAAAAAGTAGGTAAAAACAACACAATAAGCAACCGGAGTTGCTGTGTTGAAAATTGTACAAATACTAGCAAAAAAAAACAGTGAAACTTATATAACAAATTTCACTAACAAAGTGGAAATTAAATCAAAGAAATAAATGGATAGGTGTACAATAAGAAGAAAAATTACCTTTATTTTTGTGATAATAACAGTAATGCTGGAAATAGTAGACATCAGAAACTAGAAAGTTTTTAAATAAACAATAAATTATCATTTTACGATGTTCTTTAATATCCCTTTATTCTTAAATGTTCATTCAGCAAGGACTAGATTTCAAGATTTCTGCCGTTGATTATAATATTTGGCTGGTATGCAATTTTGTGACTTACTGATCGGAAACCAGTTTTAATCATTCATTCTATGTTTTCTTTAGAACAAAAATGAAAATATAAGTAGCGATCCTTTTTATACATTTTAACTTCACGCTATTATAAATGGTTTCTTCAATGACAACTTATTAGACTTAGGCAACTTCTCATACATTTTCCAGTAAATACTGTTGCCTGCCTATATTTTATTATTGAATTTTAATGATTATACATAATTTTCTTCAATTTAAGCGTGAAAAATATATAATAATAATAATAAATTAATGTTTTAATTGTTTTATAAATCCATATACTTTTATTAAAACTAACATATATACTTTTTATTTACGAATTCTATTAAAAATTGTATTTGTCAGTATAGGCAGAAATACTCCTTTAATACCAAAACAAATTGGCGCTGCTGTCGCGCACGGAGCGAATTCCGACACGTTCGAGAATTGCATAACCTATTACTATGGGAATATAAGTAGTGGAATATTTTCTCATGGGAAAATTTTCCAAGGATCTCGAGAATCGAGCCCCAGGGCTGCCGCGAAGATATTTAGAAATGTACTAGAAAATTTGAGGAAAATGTAAATTTTAGGTGGACTGTCATTTGTCATAACTGTCACGTATGTTGTCAGTTGTCATGTCAAATCTTGTCGAATGTCAACTGTAGGATGGATTGGCGTTGTTTGTTTTTGTTGCTTATGTACTTTGAAAAATTGGAATTGGAATATACCACTGGAATATACCGATACGTTAATATGAATATAGTTTTGTTTTAAATTTTATTATTTTAATCAAGTTTAAAGGCGTTTTTATATGTTTATCAAGGTAGATAAAAATAAATTGTACGATCATAAACCAGTCACTTACACCAGGATTCTGCTTAATAGATAATTTGGAGGTCCCAATAATCTACTGCGCAGAATCCTGGAGTCGGTGACGGGTTTCTGATCGTTATTGGAATAGACCTTATGTAAAATCCCTTTTCTTTAACAAAAATACTGCTAATATTTACAATACTTACCTTTATAGCGGGAAACTTAAGCTTTCCATCACATATGGTGCCACAAAGACGATCAGTATTACAAATTGTACTAAATTGTCCCTGATTTGACTTAAAATGTACTTTTGTACTTTGCCGTGAGAAATGCGAAGAAATGTACTAAATTTAGTACAATTGTACTGAAACGACAGCCCTGTCCGACACCGTGCTCAGCAGTTTGGCATGTCCCCCATGTCCATGTGGCAGTTGTTACGGGTGGATTTGCGCGCCTTTCCTTGCAGACAGCTCAACAATTATTGCCAATTGATAGGCCGCGTCACATCCAATACGGTCACAATATGCAGGACATGCTTGCCGGTCAACCTGATTTTTGGAGCTGTTTAATCATGACCGATGAAGCACATTTCACGCTGTGTGGCGTTGTTGATACGCAAAATACCCATTTTGGGGCATTAAAAATCCTCAAATGATCTTCGAAGAGCCGTTGCATTCCCCCAAAGTCTCTGTTTGATGCGGTGTTTGTGTTGAAAGGGTCATCGGCCCGTACTTTTTCGAAGACGATAATGACAATGGCGAGCGATATCGAGCCATGTTACGCGATTTTGTGGCAAATGAGGTGGACGAACATGACATGAGCGACTATTAGTTCCAGCAAGACGGCGCAACATGCCATACAACAATGGATTTATTGCGTACCATGTTCCCGAATCGATTGATATCGAAATACGGCGATTTCGACTGGCCGGCTCATTCACCAGATTTGACCGCACCTGACTTTTTTCTGTGGGAATACCTGAAAGGAAAGGTTTATGCCGATAAACTAGCCACTCTCCAACAACATAAGGCCAACATACGCCGAGAAACCCTGCCATTCAACCCGAAACACTGCAAAAAGTGATGGAAAATGCCGAAAAACGGGCTGATTTGTATATGGCGTCCGGAGGTGGCCCCTTGGCTGATGTCATCTTCAAAAAGTGACCACTAAATAATTGATTTTTGATTTTGCTTCGGTCGCCTGTGCAAATTCAAAAAACTGCACAGATCTATTCCAATACACGCTCCAGTCTACCTGTGCAGGCAGACCTCTTCGGTAGACCGTAGACAAAGTCGATACTTCCAGTTTTAAATCAGGAGTGTAGAGACATGTGGTGTGAGAAATGAAGAGGAAAAAAGGATTTGACTGCCGTACAAAACAATTTTGTCAATGAATATATGTGTAAGTCGTAATATGCCAACTTAACATTAACTAGGTTTTGGAATTTATTGAAAATTATTACATCTAATTTAGTGAAATTACATCTAATTTAGTTAAATTTGATATAACTAATGATTCAAAATTTTTTGGGTTCAGTTGCAATAAAATAGGTTAAAATATTTTAGCTATTTTAAGATATGTAAATAATTGTGTAAACAAAACAAGAATAATGAAATAAGCATTACCACAGCGGATATTATACCCTCCTGTCTCCCTTAGAATGTCTTATTCTCGACAGCACCATATTTGTTTGTAATTATATCTCCTGTTTTCTTTGAAGATAACCAACAGACCCCGTGCATCAATTTACAATAAATAATTTTTATACGACAATAATTTTTCGTGTCGCTACTGCTTATACCCCGAGATATAAGCAGAAATTACAGAACCGTCAAAATATTTTAGATGAAAAGGTTATAACCTGCTCATTATTCTTACCAATTTTTAACAGCATCCGTCCATTAATTTTCAGATATAAGTGTTCCTTCCCGTCAGAATTTTAAACAAACGAACTTAGATTGAAATTACGCTTTGGCGAAAAGACCATAATTTGAACATATTATAGATATTATTTGAATTTGAGCAAAATTAAACCCACTAGAGAGATTATGAAGATCAGAAGGTAGGCATATTTAAAATGAAATATAATTTGATAGTTTTAGTTTTTAAAAACAATTTTGCGTGAATAATGAATAAAGGAATTTCAACTTAATTATTTGTAGATACTTGTGTAATTATCAAATCGTTAAATGTTTAGAATAATAAATAAACTGTCTCTGTTGTTGTTTTATTATTAAGACTAGCTCTATATTAGGCAGAAGTTGAGACGTTAATCTTCAGCAGTAGAATCTACGGTAAACAACATATAATTTGATCATCATCTCTCATTTTCGGCGGCTGAACGTTTGCCTCAGTAATCTCTGGTAGCGCTATAATACGTTTTTAAAATAATAGACAGTGGAAAAATTTCAGGAATGTAAAGTGGAATGTTGACATCTGTCGGCGCTCCAAAATTTATAGAGATTTTCCGAGCTTATGGCATAGACATCGTATATCTAAGATAGACTCGCCCTTTACACTGTTTAACCAATACACTTTTTCTCTCCATCATAAATATACCAGATGGGGAAAGGGGTATCGTACGTTCCACATAGACGTAGTTTTTCGGGAGGGTTTATATACATAAAATAAATAAAATCTGCATAGTTAATATAAAATTTAAAAGGTAGGCAGGATGGTAGGTAGGACGATAGGAAGTATAATATCACTGGAACGTCTACATTGTATCACAAAAGTAAACGTTTCTACGCTGGACATAAGCGGTTAAGTGCTCGTCCCATAGCTGAAAACAAGAGGATAAACAACAATATAATTTTTATAAATTTTAAATAATTGTTATATTTATTATAATTAGGTTTATTATAATTAAATAATAAAACTGTTTTCGTGTCGAAAGGAAGACTAAAATAAAATGACTATATACTATAGCTGTTCGGCAGGTAGGTCTTCCGGTAGAACATCAAAGGCATAATCTAAATGATCTTAGGAACAAATGCCAAATATATCACCGTTCTGCCATTTAGAGAGAATTGTAGATCAGCATTGTACTCTCTCGTATCTCCCATAGAAGCCACTTGTTTCCTCATATTTTGGGCCAAGTGAAAAAACAACCATTTATAGTAACGCCTGTTCGAAATAGCAATATATTACTCTGGGTTGAAAATTTGGAACAATTTCTTTACTTCACTATTATTATACTAATGTTCATAAAAAATATTAATTACAATATTAATTACACTACTATTATAATTCTGATAGGTACTTGAAAAACAGATTAAAACATTTATCCCATTCCTATGCAATACTTCACTTATTTCAATACTTTACTTATTTCATAATAAAACTTACAGCGGTTTTACCATGCATACTAAAAAATAGTATTCTCGACGCCGAAATGGCCAACGGCGAAATGGCCTGACGTCCAAATGGCCACGCCGAAATGGCCACGCCGAAACGGCCACGTCCAAATGTCCTAAACCCACATTATAACATTAATTAAATGTTCTTATGCTCGTATATTACCTTGTAAAATTATTATAATTTTTTAGGAAATCAGGGCTTACCTCAGCAAGTTAGAAAAAACCGTGCCCCTACCAAATCCTTCATACATGAAAAAACAAACAGAAATCAACTGGGAATCTAGAAGTATTTTAGTAGATTGGTTAGCTAATGTCAGCGAGAATTTCAGTTTTTGCCATGAATCCTTCCATTTAGGCGTTGGTTACATCGATCGGTTTTTGGAAAAAATTTGTGTTGTAAGTAAAATTTGAATTATTGTTTTTATTTATTTAGTAATTTACTTAGTTAATACCTAAGGTTAATAATAATTAAAATAATTGGAATTCTTACAATAAAAATTATAAAATAATGCATAGGTTTATGTATTTTTTAGGCCAGAAACAAATTTCAGTTAGTTGGAGCAGCTGCAATGATGCTAGCTACTAAAATGGAGGAATACTATCCGATTGATGCCAAGGAATGGGCAAGTCTAACTGAAAATACTTTTTCGTCAAAACAGGTACTTTTAATGGAGCAGGTTATCTTAAAAGTATTGAAGTTTAGAATGCAGGTACCAACCATTAACAATTATATTCAGATGTTCTCAACTGAGCACAAGATGGATGACACGACAATGAATTTGGCTATGGTAATGAACTTATTTAATTATGTCTTTTTTAGTCGAGTACTAGAGTTTAAAGGATGACCTCTGAATAACAAAAGACAAATCTGGTGAATTTATGTTTCCATCAATCGTAAAAAAATAATAATTATAGTTTTATTTTCCGGATTTCAATTATGATTTTTGAATTTATTATCTCGTGGAATTGAAACAGAGTAATAAACTTGTTTGGTACCGAGGGGGAGTGTTCTTGAATTTTATTTTCCGAGCGCTGATATTTTATTTAAACTAGAACTATTAATTCCCCACTCGACCATTCACTGTTGGGTTATAATTAACAGTGCTGTCCCTAAAGTGACGCTGGGAAACAGTAACAAAGCCTACAGAGAACACGAGGCGAAATAACCTTAGCAGTTGAAGCCGATGACACACCAAAAAAAAACTTTTACTTTCGGGACTTTGTAGTTCAAGCATAAACATTTTAGTTTTTTACGTGGAGCTGGCTGTCTAAATTACTTTTTCTGAGTAGGGTTTTACCTTGAGAGTTTTCTTTTGTTTTTATATATTTTTTTTCTTTTCAACGTATTACATTAAATAGCATTTTTTCTTGAATGAGTTGGCAAGAACCGCATGCCGTTTCATATCAAGTACTTACATGTTAATTAGTTTTTTTTAGTCCAGTTTTATGATCATTAAATAAATAACCTCATGTGTTATTCTGGTATGTTTTATATGTCCCAGTGGGTTCCAGTTGTTGGAGATGTCCCGCCTATATGCACCCATTCTGGCCTCCCCCTTTATGACTAGGTCAAAGGGTGAGAGGTTTAGAATGATTTCCATATAGGCTGTCGGTGTACTTCTCAGTGCTCCTGTAATACAAAGGCATGCCAGCTTTTGTACTCCTGAGATAGTATTGAGGGCTATTTTTTGGTTTACTTTTAGCCACCAAACAACCGCTCCATAAGTTATCATGGGTCTTGTTATTGTCAAATATAGCCAGTGGGCCATTTTCGGTTTTAATCCCCATGTTTTTCCAAATGCCCGTCTCACTACAATGAGAGCCATTTTACATTTGTTGGTCCCTTTTTGTGATCCAACTAGGTTTGCTACCTCGGATTAGACCCAGATATTTTACTTGGTTCGTTCGTTTTTTATATTGGTGTCAAGTTGTCTTATTGACAACGGTTGTTAAACAATATGTTACAACCTTAGATTATACAAACCTTAGATGGAACATAAGACACTGCGCATAATCCCATTTCGAAATTATTCACACCCACCAATCACAGTTGATAACATCACATGTCAGAGCGTTGTCCATCCAAATTTAATGTGTCAACGAGAATTACTTTGGTATTTTAGTGACTTAAATTTTGGAAATTAACGTTGAAAATGCCAAGATGTGTTGTAAAAAGCTTTATTTATAATAAAAGTGGGAAATATGACGGAGATAAAAGAAACTTATATTTATTTCGGTGAGATATTTAATTTTAAAAGATTCTGTCAACGTCCATATTTGTTGATTTGAAAATAAACAGAATCGGACTTGGTCATTGGTACATGTTATAAGTAACAAATAAAGGTTATTTTTATAAACTGTTTACTATTTCTTGTTTCATGGGGAATCTGTTTTCAGGAAGTGGAAAGAGAAACATACAAATACAAAAATATCAATTTCATTGCCAATTTATTCGTTTCAAACTTCACAACTGGTTTCAATAGTTTTTTCAAAACTATTTATTTAGTATTTCTCTATAACAGTGTTACTCAAAGTGCTGGGGGCTCCGCAAAGCAAAAAACAGTACTATCGCCATAAAATGGAGGGACCTGGCTTGCGGACCTTTTTTTTTTGAGAAGTATTTTTTTTAAGTCACTAAGAGGAGGGAGGATATGATTTTGCTTTAGGACTTTTTTTTATTTTATTTTTTATGGGTGAAATGGATTTGGGATCATTCTTGCAAGGAATCTTTGGAATTAATCAAAAATAAATTAACAACAAATTATGTTCTTATGCATTTTCAGCCTGAGTTGCCGAATAAATTAATCGTAGATGCATCAAATGTGGGAATAAGGGCCATGATATGTCATGTTTTTGAAAAAAATATTGAGAAATCTATAGCTTCTGCTTCGCGTATCTTATCAAAGTCTGAACAAAAATATTCAAAAATTGAAAGAGAGGGCATTGCAAAAATGTTTAGCTTAAATAAATTTAATGAATATTTATATGGACATTTCTTTATCCTAGTTACAGATCACTTACCTCTGGTATCTATTTTTAACCCAGCTAAAGGTATACCCCAATTTTCAGCCAACAGAAATATTGTCAAATTACAATTACAAAATTGAATATATGAAATCGGAGCATAATATAAAGCCGATTTTTTTATCACGTCAAAATGAGACTCAAAATGAAGAAAAATTTGAAAAATATTTTTTAAATTATGTGTTTTATGTGTTGAGGGCCCCGTCAAATATTTCGCTTTTCAAAAAGGTTCCGTCGCCAAAAAAGTTTGAGAAACACTCTATCCATTTAATATACATTTTGTTATTTTCTTTTGACATATTAAGTAATATATTTTGTAATCGCAGCAAGTGCCAAAACGATCTACTTTATGCAACCAGTAGAACATTATGTAACTGATTACGAAAAGTTGATTATGTCACCAGTTACGAAATGAAAATAAGTCGAAAAATCGAAAATGGAGTAATCGAAAAATCGAAAATCGAGTAATCGAAAAATCGAAAAATAAAAAATCGAAAAATCCAAAAAATGAAAAATCGAAAAAATCAAATATCGAAAAAAGGCAATGATTAGTGACATTTCACATTTGAAAATATGACATTACGTTTAACAACAAAAAAATAAAAGCTGTAAATTGCGTTTTATTTTATAAATAATTGAACAGCATTATTGAAAACTGTCCAGAAATGTTGGGGGTACAATTTTGACGTACTCCTTTAAGGATAATGGGTAAAAATGTTTTTTTTTCAAATTTCTCGCGGGTAATGTCAAAAATCAGATCGGCAATACTGCACATGTCCCTTATTTTTATTATTACTATTGAAAAGAAAACGTCGTAGGGCAAACAAATACAACAATTTTCTGAAATATTTGATTGGAAGTACCTACAAAAGAATGATGGTGAATCATTTTTTAACACAATTTTATAAATAATCACGACAAAATTAGAAAAAATCTTGTATGTAAACACGTTACATAAATAGCTATTAATTGACTTCCTAATATTTTAAATCATTGAACGGTATTTTTCGTAAATAATTACCGGTATATAAGTACCAAAACATTTTTTCTCTTCGAAGAGTAGGCTTATGTCAAATAAACCTAAAATATTATAACGAACAAAAAGGTAACCAATTTCTAATAAAATTTAATTATTTATTTTATTTTGGTGTGACTTGGCTGTTTCGATAACTTTTTGTCTCAACAGCTATTTTGTTACAATAATTTTATAAACTTTTACTTAGGGTTGGTTTCATCGTTTTGTTAATCGAAGTTTAAAATACTAAACGAAGATTAAAATGACATTTTTACATTAACAATGTCATTTTAATCTTCATTTAGTAATTTAAACTTCGTTTGACACAACGATGGAATCGGAGCCCTTAGCTAGTTATATATTGATGAAGTGTTATGTTATTGCCCTCATCATAAATGAATCGTGCTAACAAATAAAGTCAAAAAAAAACGTCTCATAATTAGGTAACTACAATACAAATATTTAAGTCCGGCCCAGAACATCTCCCTACTCCTTCCACCCAGTTTTTCGGTTTTGGCAAAATTCGCGCAGTGACAAATGCTTCCTATGTTACCTCTACCCTTTCTAACCTCTTTGGTTACAACTGACCGTCATTTCTTTAATAGAAAATATACTGGACTGACAATATGATTAAAGGTAACGGTAGTCATATTTGAGTTGTAGGTATGGAGTAAGGATAATGCAAGAGACGTCCTTTACTTCAAATGAAGTAAGACTTACAATTATTGGCTTATGAGTAGCAAAAAATTGGAGAAATCCAAATATTTAGAATTTTTCTAAATATTCAATTCATTTGTTGAGCAGTGTATTTGCGACTAACGTTTAATGCCTAAAATAATGATAATAAATGGTTTCAAACTCGGGTCTCTATATTGGTGATGAAAGTTATGTAGTTTTTGACTTATTTAAAAAAAGCTGAAAATGTCCATTATTAAGACACTTTTGTAGATGTAGATTATTTTTGTGGAAAAGTTCTTTTTTTCATTGTTTGTTTCCGAGTTACCTACCCTAACTTTTTTATTTCTTAGGGCTGCCATCTTGGATTTTTACATAATACTATTACCCTTTAAATTACCTTTTAAACGATGTGCCATATAAAATCCAATTTTTACTTTCCTATCTGTATACAGATATAAGGAAAGTATAGGAATCATGATTTTTTTCGACCTCGAGTTTTCGACGGATTTTTACGTTTTGAGGTCCCCTGAATCCGTTTTGACTATTTTCGCGATGATGTGTGTGTGTGTGTGTGTGTGTGTGTGTGTGTGTGTGTGTGTGTGTGTGTGTCTGTGTCTGTGTCTGTGTCTGTGTCTGTGTCTGTGTCTGTGTCTGTGTCTGTGTCTGTGTCTGTGTCTGTGTCTGTGTCTGTGTCTGTGTCTGTGTCTGTGTCTGTGTCTGTGTCTGTGTCTGTGTCTGTGTCTGTGTCTGTGTCTGTGTCTGTGTCTGTGTCTGTGTCTGTGTCTGTGTCTGTGTCTGTGTCTGTGTCTGTATCTGTGTCTGTGTCTGTGTCTGTGTCTGTGTCTGTGTCTGTGTCTGTGTCTGTGTCTGTGTCGGTGTCTGTGTCTGTGTCTGTGTCTGTGTCTGTGTCTGTGTCTGTGTCTTGTGTCTGTGTCTGTGTCTGTGTCTGTGTCTGTGTCTGTGTCTGTGTCTGTGTCTGTGTCTGTGTCTGTGTCTGTGTCTGTGTCTGTGTCTGTGTCTGTGTCTGTGTCTGTGTCTGTGTCTGTGTCTGTGTCTGTGTCTGTGTCTGTG